AAATGTGTTAAGTTCTAATAATCTTTGTGTTTCAGGAATCAAAGTGGAGTTTCTTCAAGAGAAAGATGAAACAAAACACTAATTTTGAAAACCCAATATATGCGGAGGTATAGCTTAATATTGTACAATTCTATTTTTCAGCTAATATATTGCTGGACTTCATTCTTGCTTTCATAGGATAAAGATTGTGGGTAGATTCTGTTGCTGAGTGAAGCAGCACAGAAATTTCAGCCCAGGTCAAGGTAGGGACTGAAGGAAGTTTGAGAAGAGTTATCAAGTCTCATACAGAATGAGGTGTTGAGCAGGCCCCCAGCTCAGGCAGTACAGCTGCATTGCTCACATCTGCTTTCCTGGGTCAAGCACTGTGGTCCACTCCTGCTTCAGGATCTCAGGTGCTGGTTTCAGCTTGCTGGTGCGTTCTGGTACCCAGTGCAAGTGGGAGGCTATCATACTGCACTAGAACTGAAGTGTCTATTCTTGACCTCGTCGTTCTGGCTGCAGCAATGCACAGAAATACAATAGCTCTGCATACTGCAGTGTCTCCCCTGACTCAGCTATGAAGGTTTGGAGTTCTACTGACTTAAGCCAGTAATTCCAGCCCTTGCTATTTTACGGTTTAAAATTTCCAGATGGCCTAAGTGACTTAAGAACCTCAATCCCACAGTAACATTACTAAAACTCACTACCTTTTGTGAAGAATTTAGGTTTCTAATGCTTGAACAAGGTGAGAGAGAGGATTCAGGAAACCAGGAATTTATTTCCCCAACACTCATGAACATAATTATGTACAAACAGTAGTAGTGACAATGTTACCTACATTTGTATATGTGTATATAGACATACCAAGCTACTCCTGAGATTAAGCATTAAAATGGAAGTACCAATGTATGGAGTAAGTTTGTAGTAGTGTATTTACTCAGCTGTACCATCTGAGGTGAAATTAGCATTTAATTTTTGATACAGGCAGTAATTTGCAGAAATAACTTATACCGTGACATTTGACTTAATCAAATAGTTTTTTAACATTTCTGAAAATTAAGGTTGGATGTTTTGTAGATTAGAATGTAAACTTGGATTTAATGATTATTGTTCCAGATGGAAAAGGAACAGCAACAGGGCACAGAGAATGTCCGTACTCCTTCTCCTTCACTACCTCCCAAGATTACTCTGAAGAGAGACCAACCATTGTCTTACACAGCAACAGAGGATACATTTAAAGACACCGCCAATCTTGTTAAAGAGGACTCTGTGGTATAACTAGGTAAAAACTGATCTAGGGAAAATTAGACACATCCATTTGCACATATATTTTTTATAAACAGAAGAGTAAGGTTCACATTCAAATGCTTTATAAAAATATATGCATCTCTTAGCCAATGGCTGGAGATGTACATTGAAACTATGCCTTGTTTTTTGACAAATGCCAATTGCTATTTTTATGAACAATTATCATGATGTACTTACTGTGTGTATATCTTTGCACTGAAGCCGTCTGAAAGTAATGTTATAAATATATTGTACATTTGTAAATTTTTGAAAGATTATCTTGTTCGGTGATGTTGCTGGTAGAAATCTGTATGGAATTGGTTGTATCTTTACGGATTAATTCATTATATAAATGCTTAAACTGAAAAAGAACCAGGGAAGGTGAATACAGCAACATTACTGTTTTACAGGATCTTTTAGAGTATATAACAGCACCTTTTAAAACTTCTCTTTGTGCTATGGGCATCTTTGCCACCTATTTTACATACTACTGTAAAAATGGGTGTCTTAAACAGAAGATGGAAGAGTCAAGGCAGCATCATTATGCTGAATAGCTACCTGTGCAAAATGTTGTTCTTGCAATATTTTAACTGCCTGAAATAAAAAAAGTATCCCCTTAATCCATAAGACACATTTTTCATCAAGGTTCCAATTAACACTAGTCCATTAATAGTGGTCTTAAAAAGATCTGATATATTTAGATTTTAGTGCCATAAGTACTTAATTTAATGAGATTTTCACCTGGTCATCAATGGAATAGCTCTGTTCTTGGCTGGAGTCTCTGGAGTAATCTGTACTATTAAATAAAGTAGCTAAAATTTGTATAACACCTTATTTCCAAACAGCACAATACAAAAGATACTGGTTCATTTAAGAAATTATTTGGGTTTTTTAATGTGAAAATTTAATTTTATTGACTATTTATTTCCTGAGGTGGACATTAATAGAAAGGGAAACAATTTCTACTAATGCAGTCTTTGTAGTTATCTGGTTATTTCTATAGTCTTCTATCAGAATATACTCTGCATCTTATTCACTTTTTTATTACTTAGCCAAGGTAGTTTACACAACGTGCAGCATTTGGGGAAACTCTGAGTACCACTGCAGGAACGTGATATTCAGCATTCCTGTCTAGCTACTCGTATAATTTGAAGGCTCCTAAAGTTACAATCATTGAGACTTCTGCTATTTGATTGTTTTATATCTGAGTTCTCAAAATACATACTATTTCTAATTAGGATGCTTATAATTACTTTGTAATGTACTTTGATTAGAAAAGACGTGGAAAATGATGCTGCTGAATAAATCTAATAAATGTATTACTTTATCACATCCTTATTCCATAATTTGTGTCAAGGCTCTATGTACTTTTTTCAGTTGTGGAGATTTCAGTGCACTCTGAGATGAAAACAACAGTGCTTTAGATAAAGTCAAATAAGAGTAGTGCTTACTGGTTCACACAACTGTTTAAAGTTCTTGACATAACATCACTGACATGTTGCTGTAAGTGTCAAAACCACTCCATTACACATTAAATAAACTGGCCCTTGAAACAGGAAGCTCTTCAGATTGATTGTAGGAGACTGAGTATCAAGGTAGTATGGACATGAGCAATTAAAACCTTAGTTTGATTAGCTTTCATGTTGGAGTGCTTTAATGTAGACAATTCCTTGGAATCTGGGGCAGAGCATACACATCTGTAAGGCTATGAGAGGATTTCTTTGAAAGGCAGGTTGCTGTTCTTAAGGAAAGAGTTCACGGTGTTTTTTAAAGGGAGAAGGCAGAGCTAACATTTCCGCAAGACTTGCCTCCAGTTGCATACCACAAGAAAAAGTAGCATCAGTTTTCTGAATAGTCTTTGTCAACAGAAAGATTTGGAACCAGTTTTGGAGAAAAGCACTAATTAGTCAGCCATGTGTCAGAATTTTTTTTTTTTTTTTTTCCCCCCCTCCCGGTAAGAATTTTAGCTTTTCAGAGGTGGAAGAAAACCATCCCTGGGATACTATAAAGATAGGTAGTATGTTGATTGTTCAACATACCTGATTGTGAAGGATTCCTAAACTTCAACTGGGCCTTTTCCTCTGAGTAGCTAACCACAATGTACCCTTCTGATTATGTAAAATTTAATTTTTGGTACTTTGTTCAACAGAAGCTTTAGATTCTATCCTCAACTTCGTTTTTGATTTTTATCCTTATAAGCACAGCCCCTGCTTGGGTTCTTGAATTTTGGACTCATTCGGTTTCAAAGGAGGCTAATTTTCAGAGATTCCAGCACTTCTCTGTAATCTGCCACTGTAGGGCTGATAAATTATAACATTAAGTTTTTTCATGTACATTATTTTTACAGATGTCAGGCCAGATAGAGAGAACTATAACTCCTCAAGTAATTATCATGAAATGAAGTAAAATAAATATATTGTTGAAGCCATTTGCCAGAGAATAGAACCTCAATGAAATACTTAAAGGTTACTAAACATGTTTTATATCCCTTTCTTGCACACGTACAAACGCACACGCGCGCCCCCTCTTACAAACATGGGGTGATGAAACTCCTTTTTTTTACATTTGGAGTTCTGACTTGCACGTGGTATTTTTGTAAGCTTAATTGAATTACACATTAATGATTAATCACCAGCGCAGCTCTTTAGCAAATAAAACCTTTACCCCTTCAATTTTAATATCTCTAGGAACACCAGTTTGTGAGCCTCTGGCCAACAGCTTAACAGATAGAAACAGTGTACAAGAGGCACAGTAACCTCAACTAACATTTTACTGTACTGAACACGCTGTTTGTACAGTTGAAGTAATTTGCCATAGCATACGCTGATGACCTGTTTCATGTAATGAGTGAAATTATCATCTTCTTAACTTGCAAAGTACACTGTGGATGAAAAAGATGTGAATGCATATTATGTTTAATATCTTCTTCATAAACTATACTAATATTGGGAATAAAATTAAAATGTTAGCTTGGATACTCTGGATAGTAACGGAGTACAATGTAGTTTTGATTTTCCTTGTAATTGTATATCTGTAAAATAGCTTGTGTTTTATCTCTACACAATTGAATAGGCAGGTGATTAGATGTGGTCCAATATTGCAATTGTTATTTTTGGAATATGTTGCAATAGCCGGGCTTTGTTATTTTTTATTTGATGTCTTGTGTTCAGAAACTTGTGAAGCTCAGCAACTCCTGAATATGACCCTGAGCAAACCTCCAATGAAAAAGGTGGCTAAATCTGACTAAATACATTCTGTAAGGTACATGTATATGTTTGAAAGATCATTGTTTTATTTCAAGTTCACTAGCAGCCTGTATGTTGATGAAGTCTACTTGAAAAACTGAATCTTTTAGTGATTTTATTTTTCTTATTTAAAAATGTTTTATTGGCTGAGTAGTATTAACCAGCTTGTAGCTGAATATTTTATGAATGCAGATCCTATAGAGGTATCATTTCTGAGCATAAAAAGGACCTTCAAAAACGTGCTGGATTTACAAGCCTATCTGCAAACTCAGAAATTCCAGGTAAGGAAGGCTGGGATTGGAGAAAGTGTCTTCTGAAACGAATTTGAGCTAGTAACTGGTAAAGAAGTGTATGTCTGGTTTTGATGGGATGAATATTTATTTCTGCAGAGCTGATACTGGTTTAATACAAAATGTTAATTAGAACTCCAGGAATTGATCTCCCACTAGCTACTAGAGCTGGAAATGTCATATGCAGCAGTGTGTCAGATCAACAGCTTGGGGCACAGGAGAGGAACAGCCAAAAGAACTTTGCATCGCATCCAGCTCTGTATCGTGTCCTGGGGTACTTTGCTGTCAGGGCACGTTCCATGTGTTTTATGACCTTAAACATACCAGAGTCACAGTCTTTTCACTGATGATCTTTGAGCTTTTATATCTGCAAAGAAGGAAATAAACCTGAAAGCATTTATATCCAACGTTCTCTGTGAGAGGATTCTTTATATTCAAAGGTTTGGCTACAGCTTCAGGCTTGCTTTGAAACTACTGGCCACATAGCTACAGCAGAGCAGAGACCAGAAAGGCTTCAGAACACCCAACAACTTGGTAGACAGAAACCTCCGTAGCCCATATTGTAAGGCAGATGTTCCTACAGTAAGTGCAGCGTGACACAGCACAACTTTTCAGGTATCAGTAAGCCATAAACTTAGCAAATGGTCATAGCAATTAATTCCCCCAGGGCATTTTACACCTTCAGTATGGAGGGACCAAGTATGGCAGCATGACATCTATCTCACAAATCTCAAATGGAAACTAATAGCACAGGCCTCATCTAACATATACATAGTCCAGAAGAGTCAGCAATGGGTTCTTAAGGAACATTAATGAAATTCAGCAAATGTTCACAAAATTACAGATTGGTTGAGGTTGGAAGTGACCTCTGGTCCAACCCTCCTGCTCAAGCTGGGTCACCTAGACCAGGTGTCCCAGGATCGTGTCCAGATAGCTTTTGAATTTCTCAAGGGATGGAGACTCCAACACTTCCCTGGGGCTCTGTGCCAGTGCTCAGTCACCCTAACATTAGAAATGTGTTTCCTGATGTTCAGCA